GAAAATCAACACATGATTCCAAGAAGACCACTTGAACAAAATGGAATTCATGCTCACCATTCCATCTCAATAAAAAAATCTCTTATTGCAGTATGCATTGAGGTAGAAACTTTAGATGGAAGAGTATAAACACATTAAATTAAATATTGTGATGTATAAAAATAAATATGAAATTCTGATTAAGAGGTAAGATAACCTTTTTACTATTCTAATTGATCTAATATATACAATTTTTTTCATTAAATAGTAAAATATTTAATATTACATTCTAAGAATGTAATAAGTGTAGAATCTGAAAAAGAAAAACCAGAACAAATAAAAAAATTCCTCAGCATGCATCATCACTTCTTCACTATTTAAATCCACTTATTTAACACTAGCGATAAACCGTGCCTCTAGCACGATGAGAATAGCAACATTTTTTAATACATTAGTCAAGATAAAAAAATTGTGTCGTGAATAATCTTTCGATGTTCACAACATGCACTAAAACTCATTGACGAGCAACAGTGGAGAGACTACTGGTGCAATTTCATTTAAAAAAAAAACGGAAATTTCTAAAGTCAAAGTACACTAGTATTTTGACCCGAAAAAAAAAAATACTAGTATGGTCACAACATGCACTAAAACTCATTGACGAGCAACAGTAGAGAGACTACTGGTGCAATTTCATTTTTAAAAAAAACGGAAATTTCTAAAGTCAAAGTACACTAGTATTTTGACCCGAAAAAAAAAAATACTAGTATGGTCACAACATGCACTAAAAACTCATTGACCACAGGGCAAATTCTCCCTTGTACTAGTAGTTTTCTCATTTGAAAAGAAAATGTATAGTATCTTAGACAAAAAGAAATATGGAGATGGTTTTGAAATTCGAGCAATAGTAAAGAGACCATCGGTGCAATTTCACTTAAAAAAATGAAAATTCCCGAAGTCAAAGTACACTAATAATTTGACAAAAAAGAAGAAGAACTAGTATGGTCACAACATGCACTATAATTCAGTAACGGGCAATAGTAGAGAGACTTTCGGTGCAATTTCACTTAAAAAAACGGAAATTTCTAAAGTCAAAATACGCTATTATTTTGATAAGAAAAAGTACTAGTATGGTCACAACATGCACTAAAACTCATTGACCACAGGCCAAATTCTCCCTAGTAGTTTTCTCACTGTACATAAAATATATTGAGTTACAAAAGATCTCTAGAGGTAACTTTGAATCAAAATTGATTTTACGAGGACTTGATTTCATCATGGCATTTGTTCGACATTTACTGCAATGGATTTCGATGATTTTAATGTGAAGTTAGTCTCGCCATACATGCTTAGTAAAAGTTCTGGGGGCTTATAAATTTCATATTGTTTAGAGTGACTTTCACTTTTTACTTCTTTTTTAATCTGGCATCGTTAATTGTTTTTTTATTTTTAAACCCTCGAACCTTTCTTGCGAGAAAGTAAATTGGTAAAATCAAGGGTTAATATCACGAAAAACCCCAAACTGGTCTTTCTGTGAAAAATTTATTCCAAACTAATTTTTTAATAATTAAAAACCCCAAACTGATATACTTGTAATAAATTTACCCTATGTTAGTTTTAGTTAAATTTTACTGTCAAATTGCTAAATTGATGATACGTGATGGTTGACAAGTGTACCGGTTCGAGGTTTTACCCTCCAATACCAGTTTGTGATTTTTCGTGGTATTAATCAAATTCAACGGAAACTAACTGATAGTAAAATTGTCATAAGTGTACCGGTTTTAGGTTTTTTTGTAGTAAAAAAAATTAGTTTTGGGTAAATTTGTCACAAGTATATCAATTTTGGATTTTTTGTTGTCAAAAAATTAATTTGAGCTAAAATTTTCATAAGTGTACTAATTTGGGCTTTTCCGTGGTATTAATTCTAAAATTGATGTAATACCATTTTGGAAGAGTTAAATTGTCTTAGAACCCGCAACAAACAGACAAATGGAGATCGACCTGCAAAGGTTTTTCTAGGACGAATGGAGATTGACCCTCGAGCGTGAAGGTAGAAGGGTGCTTGATTACAAGATCCACCCGTCGAGCGAGAAGCGCCGTCGCTCACGAGCATAAGGGCAAGTTATAGGACGATCTCTTATGATGGATCACCTTTGAGAAGGTTCGGCATCTTGACGTCGGCTCCTTGTGAAGGGATGTGCTTGTAAAAGTTGCACGAAATCATTGCCACTCGTTTACGGTTTAATACGTGGTTTAAAACGTAAATACTTTAACATTCCCCTTCAAGGATAGGCTGAACTCGAGGTTCGGTATGATCATAACTAAGGATTTCTTACTTCGATATCATTTTTGTAAGCGATACAATAAATAAATTTCTACGATAATAGTCTTCAAATCATTTATTTTTTCGCAAAAAAAAAAAAACGCATTGCAAAAATGAGCAAACGAGAAATATTCCATGAAATATTTAGACATAAATTATCGTTGACAACGAAAATATTTCTCATCGACTAATTATTTCAAGCGGCACAAACAATCATTTATAGAAAATTACTTTTCAAAACATTTATTTTCTGCGAAACAAACGAAGCGTAAACAGTAGTCATATTATTTTGGGCCCAAACTGGTATACTTATGACAAGTTTATCCCAAACTAATTTTTTGACCACAATAAACCCCAAATCTGATACACCTGCGATAAATTTACTCCAAATTAATTTTTTGACCACCAAAAATCTTAAACCGGTATACTTGTGACAAATTTGATCCTTCATTAAATTGGATTAATACCACGAAAAATCACAGACTGATAAACCCGTGACAAACGGAGGGGTAAAACCCTAAATTGGTACACCCGTCAACTGCCGCGTGTCATCCGACTCATCAATTTAACAGTAAAATTTAACGGAAGCTAAAAGAGGGTAAATTTGTCATAGGTGTACCGGTTTGGGGTTTTTGGTGGTAAAAAAAAAAATTCGTTCGGTATGAATTTACCACAGTTATATCAATTTAAGAATTTTGGTGATTAAAAAAATCAGCTCGGTATAAATTTATTACGATCGTATCCTTCGCGATATTAACTCGAAATTAAAATGACAGATGTATGGTTGTTCGTGAGTCGTGACGAGCACGCGCGGGGCGAGGAGGGCGGTGGGAGAGGGAGGGAGAGGGAGAGGGAGGGGGGGCAGAATCCCATGAAAGGGAGGCGGGCCCCACGTCTCAATTCTCAAAGTCCCCCAAAAATCTCCCCCGAGAATTTGATTTCACGTCGTACGGCCAAACCCTCATCAGGCCAACCTGACCCCTCCCCCCCCCCCCCTCGCCCTCGCCCTCGCCCTCGCCCTCGCCCTCGCCTGTGCGCGCGCGCGCCCGAGCGAGCTGTGATCCTATCGCCGTCGCCGTCTCCCCAACCTTTTCTTCTCTCCGCCATTTGCGGTGCTGCTACGGCTCTCTCTCTCTCTCATACGTGCCTTTCATTTCCTTTTCCTTTTCCAAAGTATACAAATCGTTCGCGATAATGTTTAGACGCTTCTTTCCCGGGAGCGGGGGTCATAGCAACCGTAAGGAATTAAACCCGGGATCGCTAGTACCGGCGGGACTCCCGGCTTTTTCCCCGGGGGGGGGCAGAATCGGTAACGGGCCGTGTCGGCCGAGAGCCGATGCCGCTGCACGGGAGCGGTGCTCCCCCCCTGGTAGAATCGATTCGTCGCGAGGAGAGTCCGAGTTTAATTGACGTGTAAAGCGAGGTCGTTGCGTATTTGTCGGGGAATGGGACGACAGGAGATGGCGCGATCTGTTGAGAGCTCGCGGAAATGTGTCGGTTCTTTTCCGGTTATTTCGATCGGCGCCAACGGTCCGATCGGAACATTCATCTATATCGTCCGTAGTCAATGCATGGCCAAATTTTTGCTGATGAGAAAATAGGTTGACGACTCGACCTGAGATAGAGCGAGATGGATTGAATTAACTTATTTTTTATTTGGCTCCGTTTGCTTCGTGAAAATTGAATCATTCATTTTTTGTGAAACAAGCTCAGCCTTAATGTTGGATGGTAATTATTTGAAGGGGCAAATTGCTATTTCCTTATTAAACCAAAAGGCCTTTAAGAATACCTAAGATAAAAGTGGAATTTATATTTAGGTTCATACCATGAAAAATCCCAAATTAATATACTTGTAACGACCAAACTAGTACACTTGCGATATATTTACCAAAAACTAATTTTCTAACCATCAAAAACCCAAAATCGGTATACTTGTGACAAATTTAACCTTTATTAGTTTCCGTTAAATTGGATTAGTACCACAAAAAATCACAAATAGATACAATCATGACAAATAGAGAATAAAATCTCAAGCTGGTACACCCGTCAACTTTCGCGTGTCGTCAAACTCAGCAATTTGACGGTAAAATTCAACGAAAACTTAACGGACGGCGAATTTGTCACGGGCGCACAAGTTAAATTTATCATGGGCGTTTCGGAGCTTTTCGTTATATTATCCCCTTATATTTGGAATCCAAAATGAAAGAGAAAATGAACGGAATAAAAAGAACAAAAAGGAAAAAGAAGAGAGGAAAATCCCCAAAAAAAAGGATAAGAGAAGAAACAGAGAAAACACAGGAGAGAGAGAGAGAGAGAGAGAGTGAGAGACAGTGACCCCCATTATTATGCCCTTCCCTTGTTCCTTATCTCTTCCAATTTCCCCCCCCCCCCACAGCCTCTGCTGTTCCTTCATTGGACCTCCCACCCTTCCCTTCCCCTCCTCCCTCCCAAGTGCTGCTCCTCCTCCTCCTCCTCCCTCCCTCCCTGCTTTTATCAAGAAACAAAACTTGAACAAACAGAGAAGACATGCCAGCAAAAGCATCCTCCTGCTAATTATAACAGAGCTCTGAGCTAAATTTGATCTTCCCCCCCCACTCACAGTCCTCCCCAAGATCTCTAAATTTGATCTTCCCCCACCCACCACCCACACCCCCCCCCACAGAAACCCACAGGAGTAGTGAAAGAGCAAGCGGGGGGCCAAGAAAGAAAGAAAGAGAGAGAGAGAGAAAGAAAGATGAAGAGGGATCATCAGGACACCCGTATTGGCGCCTTCGGCGGCGGCGCCCCCCCGAAGGGGGAGCCACCGTCGTCCTCCTCCGCCGCGGCCCCAATGCCCGGCTCCGGCAAGGCCAAGTTGATGATGATGTGGGGGGAGGGCGACGACCAAGATCCCAGCGGCGTGGGCGGCGGCGGCGGTGGCGGCATGGACGAGCTCCTCGCGGTTCTTGGCTACAAGGTGAGGTCGTCGGACATGGCCGACGTCGCCCAGAAGCTGGAGCAGCTGGAGATGGTGATGGGCACTGCCCAGGAGGACGGCATCTCCCACCTCTCCCACGACGCCGTCCACTACAACCCTTCCGATCTCTCCTCTTGGGTCCAGAGCATGCTCTTCGAGCTCAACCCTCCGCTGGCGCCGCCGCCGCAGCCGCAGGTAGCCGACCCGGTCCTCGCTCCGGCCGAGTCGTCCTCCACCCTCACGCAGCAGCACCAGCGTTCGCATACTGGGTCTCAGTCTCAGGCCCAGACGCCGTCCCAGGTCATCTTCAACGATGACTCGGAGTACGACTTGAGGGCGATTCCCGGCGTCGCCGCCTACCCGCAGAGCGACCCGGACTTCGAGAGCGCCGCCCGGAAGAGGTTGAAGACCCTGAACGGCGGGTCGAATTCGTTGTCGTCCTCGTCCTCCTCGTCGGTCGCTGGAGCGGCGCCCCCCGAGTCGACCCGGCCGGTCGTCCTGGTCGACACGCAGGAGACCGGGGTGCGGCTCGTCCACACGCTCATGGCCTGCGCCGAGGCGGTCCAGCAGGAGAACCTGAAGCTCGCCGATGCGCTCGTCAAGCACATTGGCCTGCTCGCGGCTTCGCAGAACGGCGCGATGCGCAAGGTAGCGACCTACTTCGCCGAGGCGCTGGCCCGCCGGATTTACCGGATCTACCCCCCCGACGGCGGCCTGGACTCCTCGTGCAACGACATCCTCCAGATGCACTTCTACGAGACCTGCCCTTACCTCAAGTTCGCCCACTTCACTGCCAATCAGGCCATTCTGGAAGCCTTCGCCACCGCCAGCCGCGTCCACGTCATCGATTTCGGCCTCAAGCAGGGTATGCAGTGGCCGGCCCTCATGCAGGCTCTGGCCCTTAGGCCCGGCGGTCCGCCCGCCTTCCGGCTCACGGGGATTGGCCCGCCGCAGCCGGACAACACCGACGCCTTGCAGCAGGTCGGCTGGAGGCTGGCCCAATTGGCCGATACTATCGGGGTCGAGTTCAAATTCCGGGGTTTCGTTGCGAATTCGCTGGCTGATCTCGAGCCTGCCATGCTGGACATCCGCCCACCCGAGGTCGAGACGGTGGCGGTCAACTCGGTGTTCGAGCTCCACGGCCTGCTCGCCCGACCGGGGGCGATCGACAAGGTTCTGTCCTCCATCAAGGCTATGAGACCTAAGATTGTGACGATGGTGGAACAGGAGGCGAATCACAATGGCCCGGTGTTCGTGGAACGGTTCACGGAAGCTCTGCATTACTACTCCAGCCTGTTCGACTCGCTGGAAGGGTCTGGGGTGGCTCCCCCGTGCCAGGACCTGGTCATGTCCGAGGTCTACTTGGGTCGGCAGATTTGCAATGTTGTGGCCTGCGAGGGGACGGATCGAGTGGAGCGGCACGAGACCTTGGCGCAGTGGCGGGCGCGGATGGGATCGGCTGGGTTCGACCCGGTCCATCTCGGGTCCAACGCGTTCAAGCAGGCGAGCATGTTACTGGCTCTGTTTGCAGGTGGAGAAGGTTACAGAGTAGAGGAAAACAATGGTTGTCTCATGCTCGGTTGGCACACGAGGCCTCTGATCGCCACTTCGGCGTGGCAACTCGCCGCCACTCGGTGAATCAAGTGTCATTCAGCTGTGAGTTTAATCGAAATTGAGATAGATCGTGGTGTCGGTTTGACCCCCTTAGATGATCAGTGAAGGAAAAAGTGCTTTGCCTGAGTTGGGGAGAGGTACTAAGAGAGAGGCTACGAAACAACCTCAGAGCGTGTAGTTCCACTTCTTGCTTTTTTTGCCTCTGTGTAGTCTTCTGCAACATCTTCCAATCTTCCCCTTATTGATTTATTTCATGAATTTTGATTTTGGTTAGACCTTTGGGCTCTACTCAGGGTTGTTGGATGAATGCGAATGTGTATCCTCTGAATTTAACTTTTGGAATAAAATGACGACGACGACGACGATTCTCCCGCTGGCGGACCCTGGTTTTTTGCTTTTATCGCTTCTTGTGTGGCAAAACTTGTTTGCTGGTTTTCATTACTCGAATGGGTTTCCGGAACTATGAATGACGAATGATTGTTATATGCCTATGTGCGATTGCTGTTACTTAATTGATCAGGTATTTTTGTTGGCGCGACAGGCGTTTGACTTCCGGTTTCTTTGTTGCAAGCTTCGAACTTCTGATGAAAGAGAGAAACGGGGGATGAACTTTCGAAGAGTGCAAGAGCAACCTGCGGATCCGCAATCCGGGTATTCCTCCAAGCCTGCCGTTTCATACCTTAGATCCTTTAAAATCTCATGCGGGTGTGTGAGAAGCTGTCCTATAAGAGCTTAATGATAGGTGCAGGTAATGATGTGACCTGATGGTACAGAAACCGAGAGGAAAGGGATGGTGATTCTTGAACTCGGGCTGGTGTTTGCAATTGATGTGGACCTAAATGAAGGTTGTTGTGACTGATAACAATGAGGGACCGAGTTGGGTTTTGAGCGAGCGATGGTGGATGTCAGATAGCAGAAGCATATGAGGCCCTGTGGATGGCGATTACAAGAACTAGGACATAGGGAAAACCGAATCATCAGATATGCTGCTTAGTCCACCCTTCTTCTTTCTTAGAACATAAATCCAGGAGACGAACGATTCATTAGGAGCTTTAGTGTATATTGCAGAAACTTCTGATTCGTGAGCGACTCCAGGCCGAAACCTCTTCCGGGTCCGGTCGGTTTTCCGGTTTGGTAAGAGGCCAGATCATTCGCGTCGACATGGGTATTTAGCATGCGGCAAGACATTGCGCATGGCACCATTTGTTCAGCATCAATGGCAGAAAGATCACATCGAAACCCAAAATGAAAACAGTAAAGCCATAGCCCTCTAGGCACGACAGTAGGATCTTTGAGGAGGGGTTCCGGGAGTGGAAATCCCGGGTCTCTGCTGTCATCCACTCGCTCCCTTTCGTCCTAGCCTACTACGACCGGCGAAGTGATCGTACGCGAAAAGCAGCGATTTTTTTCACCAAAAAGAGGCGAGTAACAATTCCCGAAAGCGAAATCTTTTACCAAATACACGAAGAATCCCAATTTGCCATTTGCGGCAACGAGCAGAGAGGGGCGACGATCTGGGTAGGCCCTGAAACAAGAACCCCCTCTCGTCTCCCCCCGTCTGCTCTCATCGGTGATGACGAACGACGCTGAATCAAAAGAGGACCGCGCTTCTCTCTGCCTTTCCATTACCGGGTACAACTGAACGGTCGAGGGCCGAAACGATGAAGGGGATCTGGATGCAAATTTTTCATGCAAAAGGGTGGGTGGGGGGAAGATGCCGGTGCCCTCGTCTCTTTTGGTTTTTGTTGCTGAAATGGTTGTTTTCTTGTCAGCTTTTCTGCGCCTGGGTCGAGCCTTTACCTGCGTTGGGATTAGGGAGGGGGGGTGAGGGAATGTACGAAGGAAATGTTTCACTTCCTGTGATCCGATCTCAAGGTGTACCGTGTGCCCGTTGTGTGTGAGAATCGAACCTAGCAAAACCTAATTTGGAGTGATCGGTTTGACGTTTGTTTTTTTGTGCATGAATCGTAATCGGGTCCTAAATCTTTCGACCGAAGAGTATATTCGTGGTTAAAAAGCTTGTCAGGTTGTTGCAATTAAGTAACCTCCGTTAGTTCCGTCAAATTTGAGTGACGGAAATTACCTATGTGACACGATATATTTCAAGGACAGGTTGCACTGATGTGGCGTCACGTCGTGAAAAAAAGTTTGAAACGCTTGAAAGAAGAAAGGGGCTACAAATTTTACGAAACGAGCCCACTATATGGAGTCATCGCCCTCTACTTCGCCGATATTTTCCGTCACTCGAATTGACCGGAGCTAACGAAAGTACTGAAGTGCACTTTTCCGACAAATTTTACGACTTTTGGGGCATTTGTTTATTTATTTTTCGTTTTTCCAAATCTGGTTGTGCATGTACTTTGATTTAACTTTCCTAATAATTTAAGAAATAGATTCAATTAAAATTTTCTCCGAATTTTCTTGAGACTCGAATAATAACTCAAATTTCGACTATAATGTAAAAGTTGCCTTTTCGCTTTTTATATATCTAAACAAGCATGCCCTAAGACTTCACGGGAGACTACGTTCATATTATCGCCCGGCCAATCTTTTTTTCGGCCAATCGATAAATCCAGTATGTACATATTTTTAAAAAGATAAGCAAATACAATAATTAGAGGTGCTTTCATGTAGGGGCCATTTTGCTAGACCTGCACAGTTTTTCTGAAGACATTATCATGGGAAAGATGGAAATCTTCACATGTTGTGCTGGGACCATATTTGGCATTTTTGGGGGACAACCGGGGCTCGATTTGGTGGACTCACTTTCACCTTCAAATTAAACGAAGAGAAAAGAAGGAATTGTGTGGTTAAGCGCACTGGTCCCAAATTCGATTCTCCAGCTGAGCACTTGCGATTTAAGTGGGGGCCATGGCGGTGGGTTACTGTGTTAGTCTCTCCCGAGGAATAGTCGAGGTGCGCGCAAGCTGGCTCGGACACCTCGGTTATCCAAAAAAAAAAAATCTGATTCTTTTTATATGATGGATGTATTTATTTCACGGAAAGTAAATGATCCGAAAAATATTTTTTTTAAAAATATTCGCTTAAAAAAAGATCTCATTTTTTTAACATTTAATCCAAAGATAATTACGGTATCGACTTAGGGCATACTGATGGAGGATTTGTCAAAACCCGATTTTGAAATGACCACAATTTATAGCTTCCTAGCTGGCTCTAGTTCTCCGGACTTTTGATCTAAGCCGTGAAATAGCTGTCTCACGACTCTGATTAATTGGTCGATGTAGTTGAAATTCGTGCATGCATGAGAGCTAGTCATAGACGTACACTGACTTAGTGATGTGGGGGCACCAACCGATTAATAACCCGGCCTCATAGCTCGATCCGTGTACGCATTTGGTCGATCAATCCAACATCGATATAGTCCTAGACTTTTTCATATTTTGCCAATTAAGTTCATTAAGTCAATTTTGGCTAGAAATATCTGATGTGAACACTAACAAGTTATGATTTTTTTTAAAATAATTTGCTTTCGATTTTGTTTTTTTTTTCTTTTTTTTCCTTTCATTTTGGCCGACGATCCTTGCTGGCTGCTGGCGAGGGTCGCCTCGACTAGAACTGGTCAGGTCCGCGACCCTCACCAGCTAAAATGAAAAAAGAAAAGAAAAGAAAATAAAAATTCATTTTTAAAAATTGTATAAATTGTCCACGACTGTGTCGGCCGTGCCATTTAGGAGGGCCGGCGTCCACGTTGGCGATTTCCGGCCAAATTTGGCCGGAATGACTCAATTGGCAAATTGCGAAAATGTTCAGGACTAAATCGGCACAATCAAAAGGGTTTGGACTGAATAGATACAAGTGCAATATGTTTATGATTTTTTTCGGTACCTGTCCCCTAGAACTCATTGATATTGTTGCAAGTGAATTGTCATCGGCCTAATGTGCTAAGATCTTGGGTAGGTCATCCTTATTAAATACTTTGGTTAGATATAAATGGGGACCCGCAATTCAATTACTTGTATACACTCCAATGGAAATATGTCCCAAAGTATCGAGTCCGTGGTGGACCTTCCCTTGTGGCTGATCACGCCTCTTTCCTGATAAAAGTCTGAACGCATCTATCTAACCCGTCGGCCAAATCAGGCGTCGAGTCTTATCAACGCAAACATGAACGCGACATGAATCCCCAAGTCGCACGTAATGATCCCAAGCGGGACCGTGCGACCGGCTTGATGTCTCGAACCTTTGCTTGTATTGGATCGGGTAAATAACTGTTGTACCGAGACTGACCGTTGGTGGTTTGAATTGAATGGTTGGAAGAGGGCGGGAGCTGGACCCGTTAAATGGGTAGGTCGGGTCCAAAAATGACCCGACCTAAATAAACTTATTTAACCCATTTGATTTATTCTCATGCAACGTAAATCTAGTGACCCATACAATTCGACCTATGCTATTTCAATATTTAAAAAACTCATACACAAACTGAAATGAGGGTGCGAAGTGAGTGAGTGCGAGAGAGCCATAACAATTTATGACTCATTTAACCTATATTATATAACTCATTTATTGAATATAACTAATCTGTATAACAGTCCAGCTGATTATATATAAATTAAGAAATAGATTTAGTATACATTTTGACAGGTTTAGTGGGAGCTCACGGCAGGTAAGTGAAACCTCGAGGAAACATCAGAGCTCCCCCCATCATAATATCTAAGGAAGAAAGTCTTTGGAAAATCTTGCTTGTGAGTCTTAGTTTGCCCTAAGTCAGATGATGTGGACTTGCATGCGTGACCGTCGGTTTGCATTCATGCACCGATCTTTGATTACCACGTCCGCACTTTGCGTTCGTCTCCTTATCACATCCATGCTTTTTTGTGAACTTGCAAGAAGGGCACGAGCTTTGTTCGTGCATAAATGGGATGCATAGAGGTAAATATGGAAAGAGGGGCTATTCGATAGTCGCTGCATGGCATATCGTTCGTTAATTGAGCGCGGCGGGGGAGCCAAACGTGTGATTAGCGTGTTAACCGGCCACTTTCCCCATAATCGCTTCGTGGTTGCAAATGAGATCCGATGCGTGTGTGGTTCACATGTGATATATTAGGTTTTCGTGTGCATCGAGTCGACCGATGATGTGAAATACAATGATTAAGAAATATCTCCTCGATGACTATATATGATGATACAGATCGAGATCGTATTATTAAAGGGGGTTAACATGTCATTTCGAGTGTATCTATCTCGACAAATATGATGGAAGTAACATAATCCATACCTCCCAAAATCTGAATCTCTAACCTTTTGAATTTGTCGAGTTCGTAAATACTTTCTTAACAAGACTCCGTTTGTTTCGCGAAAAATGAACGATTTATAAAATATTTCCTAAAATTGATCGTTTTGAAATAATTAGTAAACGAAAAATATTTTTTTTTAATTCATTTCATAATATATACAAGTAATTATTTTAAAAAAATATTTTAAAATTTTATATTTTTCATGGAGTAAACGGCTTTTTAAGTTGAAGTTAATAATGAGTTGGGGTCAAATCGGTGGCAATAAGTAATGGGGAACAGAGCTGTCATGATGGCTGGTCTTCTCTCACACCACACCATCAAAGAAGCCAAGTCAACATAGGACTGTTCATATGATTGATTAAAGAAATGTGTAAACGTTGCTATCAAAAAGTTGCCTTGCACAAACTTCACTTTCCTCTTCTTCTTCTCTCTCTCTCTCTAATTTTTTTTTTCCTTTGGGGCCGATCGATCTCAATCTAATCTAGTTCTACAGTGGCCATAATCGATTGGGCAAAGCAGAGGCTCGTTCCATATGATGTTTCTGGAATGGACTGGTTAGTGGGCGTGGCTCCATGATAGTGATCATTGACAATCTCCACCCAAGCAAGCACTTCCTCTCATTTCTCTCTCTCATTTTTCGCCCTATTTTGTTTCTTGGGTTCTGCTTTTTCTCTCTGCTTTTGGCAGACAGCATGGGCCCCCGAATGCATGAGACCTCCTTCACATTTGCACACATTTAAGTGTTGGCCCTCTTCAACAACTACTCCTAGAAAGGCAAGAAATTAAAAAGGGAAAGTAATAGATAAATCACAAAGTAATTCTTCTTTATTACATGGGTGTGAGTAATTGGGTATGAGTATATCTCCACTAAATCTCCTCCCTCCCTTTTCCTTCCCCCCATGAAAAGGCCTCTCTCTAATCATGTGTTTTCTAGTGTAATCTGGTTTACATGTTCAAGTGCGAATCATCAACTTCAACCTGTTGCGTTCGAGAAAAAAGACTGCGACGTCGGTAAGAGATACGGCGGTGTATATTGGTATCAGAGTAAGCGATTGCAAAAAGAAGAAGGGTGCGAAAAGGCGAGAGGCTTTTGCCGCGCGCATGATTGGGTCAATCAGATGGACAATTAACTAGTGGATTCATAAAATTTGAGTATTGTGGTCATGAGTGGCTTCTCTGATTGGTGTGAGCTTGGCCGCTGTGGTAGAGTTTGAGTGCGGCTCATGAGATTTTGCATGCCTTGTGCGATATGGACCGTGTCATCACGATATAATCTCTCGAGCATTTGGAAGTGGCTATTCTCGATACGTACCAACCTGTTGTGACTTGTCGCCATCACAAGATTGAAAAGGAGAGGATATCGGCAGTGAATCGAGGATGACCCGGCGGGCCGAGCCGAGGAGCTCGTTCCGAGGTTGTTTTCGATCTCGAGATCCATGGTTTTCGCAGTGTTTCGAGGCCGTTTTCTCTTCGCATGATTCGTCTTCTTCGACTCGTCTTTTGGCCCATTCGTAATTTCTTCGTTATCTCTGTGTTTTTGTCATTTAAGTTAGTGTATATCGATCTATTTCCCTTCGAGTGTGTGGAACCTTTGTGCATGTGCGTGTACGAGTTTGCGCTGTTTACGCAGTTTCACTGCATCATTGCTTCTTCTTAATGTATAGTGGGGGCCTTGGACCATCATCGACTTTTTAGTCCCCCATGAAAAGCATGCACATGCAAGGGTGAGTTTATAGGTGTGGTGAGCCCCTCCTTCCAATCAGTAGTTGCCTTTGGATGGGCACGTGATAATGTTTCCCTAATTCTGCTAAAAACTGCACAACCAATTTCCTGTAAAATGGTCTGCAGGAACCACTGCTAAATCTTCTTATTAAATTTTCAATAACTCAAAGGCACGACGGACCGGCTATTGAGAGTGGAACTAACATAGCAAACCCACCGACAGAGGCTCCCCGTTATACTCGTTTGCTTCCTTCTATCTCTAAAATACTCGAGAATAAGAAAGTACGACCCCATAAACCGAAGCAAAAGACAAGCACTGACCATCAAAATTTTTTACGTGTTTTGCTACAAAATTTGTGCTTTGACCAAGCTCTTGGTTGGATACCCGTTGAGATTCAGTCGGTTGTCCACGGTATAAAACGACTATTTCAGTCATATAGAAAGTCTTGGGGAGTGCATGGCACATATAAGCCCAAACCAGCCCAGAAACGACCCAAAGAACTTGGACCCAGCCACAGCTCAGCACGCTCAAATTAATGAGACTTCAGTTTCCCACCTACGGTCGTACCATTTTCCGAATTCATGTCGAACAATTTGGAACACGTTTTCCTAAAGACAATCGTCTATATCGCCCATAAAAATATAGGCTTTATTGATTCTCTCTCCCTCTCTCTTGAAATCCTAGAATATTTGCATTGCCGTCTATCCTTCAGGGCGATAACCATGGTGCGTCTTATTAGAGATGAGCCATTATTAGGTAGATGTCGACTGTACTGAATCCGCTTGTGCATATTAGTGGTCTTCTATGTGGTATTTCCACATCATGTTACATATATGTTTATCTGTGTGCATTAACTGTAATGCATTATTGATATTAAAGTGTGTATTTGTCTTAATGAATCATGGATAGTTTCAGGAATGCCACTGAAGCAAGAATCTATCAATGCGAGAGGGGTTTATTATGGTCAGCTTTTCTGCTTTATACATGGAAGTTTTGTTATCCGAGTTAATGTTTACTCACTCCTCATTTATATTTTCAGTACTTATTTGTTCACGAGTCAAATTTTTAACACAAGAAAGTCAAAGTATGTGTCTTATTCGATAAATTGGTTGTATATGTCGTTATAGTTCTATGACTTAGACTCAATTCCTGTTACCATTTGAGTTCTATATCCCCAGGTTAGACAAATCTAAGAGTTGATACATCTTTTGGTGGAGGACTGATCAGGCGGACATGATCTACTTTGGAGGCCTTATATTGCGGACTAGGGGATGGACTGTGCAGCATTGGAAAAGTTTGGTTATCCTTTTGTTCTGCTGCCCGTGTTGAGTACAAGTGTACAGGAGTTATCGAGCTTGTGTCACCCACTGCGCATGCGCGGTTGATCGCTAACCCTATTCGTTGCATGTACTGTGTATTGTGCATATGCAAGTGATCCTGTGTGCTGCTCTATCTCAATATTATACAGTGATTGGGCCTATGTACTGCACTTTTTTGAGAATATACAGGTTCTGTGAAAACGCTGGGGTGTGGATATTTTGTGCCATAGGCTGCATGTGGAGGCAAAGTTATTATGTTTAAACAAATACTTACGTTCTCTTCTGCAGCAACTTGATTATCGAGCGATGGATAATGAGATAGATGAACCGGTGTTGTATATTGGGAAGCCTAATCAAATATTGGTCAGAAGGAGCAAGCGTTGCGAACAAAGCACATTCTCCGGTGAGAGTTCTATGGCGTCTTCAAGGAATCGAGGAAGCAACGTGTGAAGGTGAGGAGGAAACGCTGAAAAAGTATGCTGAGTTATTTGAGTAATGAATCAGGCCCGTCAAATTTTGAGGAAGAAATTTCTTTATCGGGGGTAGAATTGCAATATCTTAACACGCCAGCGTTCATTCGAGGAGTTGTGTAGTTGCAATAATAGGGTGTCCAAATATACGATTGAACAGGACACTCAATAAGTTTGGTCGATATGGGCCTAAATTGATCTGTTCGACAATTGCGTGAGCGACCCGGATATCTTACGTGATCGTACAAAGGTCAAGTAACAAGAAACTGCTACAATTGGGGCTCCTAAAGAAGAAGATTGAGAATTTTTTGTAGACCCAAAAACCAAATGGGGTAGCATGAATTCTAATTGGACCTCTTGATCATAGTGGAGGAGAAAGCGGACTACTTTGTGTTTTAGTTGGTCTAAACTAACGTGGATTTAACTATTTTAGGTGAATATCTATTGAATGGAATTGATTTTTGTCTATCAATGAAGAGGGGTTTTGTGGTTAGAACAATCAATCATGTCAACAAGTTCATTTGAAACTTTACCTGGTAATTTTCTAACCCGAGAGGATCTTTTGAGTAGTGTGCGTAGGCATCTTCTTGCTTAAGGTTATGTTGTCTCTATTTAAAGATTAAAGAGAGACAAATATGTTTTTCTTGATTGCATTAAATTATCGTGATTGACACAATATTTCTATTGCACGTCAGAGAAGATAGATAAGATTTCGTTTGATTAGCTGTCATTTTGAAGTTTACTGTTATAAAAAGAAGAACGGATCATGGTCATTTCAAATATTGAGTGCATCACACAATCATGATCCTTCGAGTGATATGTCTAGACATTTGATTTGTTGTTGCTTTTGTGAAGTTGAAGCTTTGCATGTGCAAAAAATGTCTAAAGCCGGCATACCTCCTCGCCAAATTCTTTCTTCCTTGTGACAAAGAAATCCCAACGTTTAAGCTTTTTCTAAAAATGTTTACAACATGAAAGAGAAATTCCGTCGTGAATATCAAATGATCGCACTATGATTCGAGCTTTATCAGATGAGCTTAGTGCAGGTGGATTTTTATCCACAAATTTAAACATCACGCGGAGGGTCACTTGACACATTTTTTTTTTTATCATCCTATCTCCATAGCACTAATGAAAAACTTCTCAAGTGTCTTTGTAATGGATTGTACTTACAAGACTAATGTTGGATATAATTAGAGTTTGAAGCTTTAATACTTCTTTCTACTCATGCTTTGCATTTTTTAGAAAGGAAAAAGGAAGATTATATTTAGGCTTTGACAATGTTTAGCAACATAGTGGGTGTTGATTGTCAACCTTAAGCTATTGTCACCGATAGAGAGTTGGCATTGATGAATGTAGTTCGATTCATTTTTCTTAGAAGTGCGATCTTGTCATATGTTTAACACATTGAGGAGAATATTGTGGTAAAATGTAAATTTTAGTTTGAAGAAGAAACGAATTGAGATTCTTTTATGTCCGATTGGTCCAAGGTTCTGAACTCCAAGAGTGAAGCGAAATATGATGAAAATATTCGGCAATTTGAAGATTGTTATAAGGAAAAACCATCGGTTCTTAATTATATTAAATAGTCATGGCTTCTTTTCAAAAATCTTTTTGTGCCCACTTGGAATGATTTGCACATGCATTTTGGAAGTCATATTACTTCAAGAGCTGAAGGGGTGCATTCAACTTTGAAAGCATATTTACAAGATTCAACGAGGGATTTAGGATGCATTTGGAAACACTTTGGGGAAGTCTTTGGAAAAATGCAAAGGACTTTAGGTGAAAGGGTTTTTCTAAAATGCAAATAGTATTTGGTAAAGTGTATTTTAAAAACACGGTGGGAAGCAACTTTAACTTAAATGCCGTTTGGAAAAAACTACACTTTGTAAAGGACTTTTGTTAGTTTTTTTTTTTTTAAATTCTTGAACTATTTGCCAGCGGAACTCAGTCGCTGGCCAAGCTTGAGGACTCATGACCTCAGGCTCAGGCGACATTACTTGGGTCGTGCAACCCCAGGCGACCGTCGCTTGGGTTCCCACGACCTAGGCCTTGCTTGAGGTCAGGCGACCTAGGGCGAGGTTGGCCGATGCCATATTGACTTGTCGGCAGCCAAATCTGGCACCGTCAGCGGCCTAAACTCATTTGTGGCATTGCGTGAGGTGGGGACATTTTTGGAATTATGAAAGTTGAACGAGGGCAAAGTTGGAAGATAAAAAAAATTATTTGCATTTCGAAGATGTTCAAAACTCAAAGAATCTCGGACCTACCTTGGGCTAAAGGCCTTTAGAGGCCTTTGGAAATGCAATTGTATCTTCCCAATGCTCTCCATAAAATTTGCCAAATGGTATTTGCATTTGCTCAAGGACCCTTGGCAAAGCAATTTCCAAACACACCCTAGTCAAGATGAAAAAGAAAATATGCCTTGCAGTCGAGAATCAGTTTCAAGAAATCAATACCAAATTGTCAAGTGAAAAGATAGGAGTTCCTCATCAGGCTCACGTTCCTCTTTTCAGGAACTTGATTAATCGTGTATTAGCATTTGCTTTAAACAAACTCTTTAATCAATATGAAATTGCCAAAAGTAGGGTTGAGTTACCTGCTTGTGCCAGGCCTTTTATGCAATCCATGGGCCTTCCATGTGTACATGAGATAAGATTTAGGTATTTCAATGGGTGGTCTCTAGATATAATTAATCCACAAGGGAGGCTTGATATAAGGTCCTTTCTTGATTGCCATATTACTCAAAATAATGAATAAGATTCATTTCTGCAACTACTTCATGAGTTGGAAAGGAGGTATCAATAGTGGCCAATTTTAAAAAAGGAAGTTGTTCGAGATTTAATTGAACAATTTGTACGAGTAAGTGGTCCTTTTTTATATGAGCTCTTAGCTACATCTCATAAAGGTTGTCCTTCCAATTCTAAAATTAAAGGAGAAGCAACTTCTATACGACGTGATCTTTCCGCATTGAGATTGTTGAAAAGGGGAAGAGATTTGGTACTTGTAGGGGTTATGGCCATAAGGGTCGCATGTTAATCAAAAGGCAAAGATCCTAGATCAACACATTCAAGGACCATTGGAAGTCATGGTGGTGAAATATAATAGGCATAGAGGACAATTCGATCAGAAAGAACTATTTTAAGGTGGAGCTTCTTGTACTATAACATTGAAAGATGTTAATTTGTTTTTAAATATATAATGACTCTCTTATTAATATTATTGAAATTTTTTTTGTCTGAGTTAGGTAAAATATGTTTTTTCCTAGAGAGTAGCCTTTTTGAGGAGAGCCAAGCAACTGAGTGGAGAGTATTTTTTGTTATGTTATTTGTACTTTGAAGATACCTTCCTTAGATTTAATGGTTTTCCATGGAAATTCTGGTGCATATGGAATTGACTAAAAAATATGTATTTATAAATGGTATGAATGGGTCGTCTTATAATGCAATTACAAGTGCCATCATCACCTAGTCAACACCTAATCATTCTGTGTAATCAAGGCAAATATAATAGTACATAGTATCATGTCTTTATGGAGTATTTTCTTTTGAATTGCATGATAATAATGGACGTTTAGAATTTTTTATGTAGTTGATTTTGTCAATTTTTTTTTTTGAAAATATCCATTAAAAAATTGTGCAATGATAGCATGAGAAATACATAAAAATTGGAATATTACCTTCACCGAGTAAAACTATCCATCACTGCCTTGCGTTGCCGTGAGGTAGAGGTTCCATCTCCATCTCCGCTGCGCAGGCCCCACGGCAACCGTTCCGGGCATGTTGTCCATGGTTTGATGTATAGTTTGGTTTGTACCTTTTCATCGGGACAAGAAATCTCTAAATGTCAATCTCGTTTGAAAGAAAAATACGTAGATTTCGAGCTCATGAAATATATTTCTAATCACATAGGCTCGAGCTTAACTTGATTAGTTGATCTAATGGGATTTGTTTGCATTGAGTTTTCTGGGGAACGAACATTGTACCATGCGCCTAATACACATACACTGCTCCGCTATTAGATCACTATGCCAATTCCTTGGGATGTATGTTCTCGTTTCTATCTTGATTAGATTAATTGATATTTGGTTGCATTTTTATTATACTTTTTGAGATTTAAATAGGAAAAAATCTTTCTCTTCTAATTCCCCCATGCTTTTTGTAGGTTATGCTCGATATTTTTAGATTGGGTGAATATTAAGGTATGTTTGTCTCAAGTAAAGCTATATTTAGGAAAATACTTTTAGAGTTTTCACGTGTTTGGACACGAAAAAATTAAAGATATGTAAAATTGTCCGTTAAGCGAAACTCCCAGGTTAAAATCTAGACCAGTGAATTTTCCTTCCGCTAAAAAGGGAAATCGTTTACGTGAAGATACATTCACCACTAGCATGCTACCAATGCATTGCAATTGCATAAGTAGACCTCCCTCTCTCTCTCTCGAGAAAATATTCAATGACATTAAAATGCCACGTCAATCGCCGACGTGTCGTATATTTACCCAGTTAAATCTATTCATGAATCGACACGTGATAAGATATTATAATTAAATAAAATGCTCAACAAAAAGATGACCAGAAAGCCATAAATGCAACTCGGCTTTTTGAAAAAAATTCAAATGGCCACCCGAAGCAACTCTCACCCCTTTCAACCCGTCTTTTCTTTCCTGGCCAAAAGAGAACACACCAAAAGATTCTAATGCCCGTCCTAACTTTGCTCCTCGCTGGAACCCTCTCTTCCCCAGTTCCATCTTCTTCATCCTCTCACTCTCACCTCTCCATTCCTCTCCTCAACGCCTCGCCCTTGCCAAGACCCGGACCTGGCACCTGCCCCAAGACATTCGGGTCAGGCTACTCGCCCCTGAACGACCCGTCGCCCAACTAGAGCAACCCGTGTCCCAAGGAGATGATCCTCCTCGACGGCGGCTGCGACCGGCTCATCATCATAGAGTTCCCCACCGACCCAAGCCCTCTGAGGAAAAATGATCAACGCCTTAGGTTCTATTTGTCGGAAGGCACAGACTAGAAGAACCAATTTCGCTGTTATCCTTTCTTTTTTCTTTTGATTTCTAGTCCTAGTTCAAGCTGAGTGTGTTTGATTTATTTGTTTCTCGGTGGTGATTTTCATGTGTTAGAGGTTTCAGTGAGGAGGCGAAGAAGATTTTACTCGGTTTGCACAACTACTTAATACTAAATTCGGGTGCTTGATCTCCGCGGAGCTCTCATATAAAGTTAAAAGTTATTTATATACTAGGTTTAGGCTTGCAGGTCATCTTTTGCATAACATTTTATTTAATTATAAAATTTTGCCACATGTCAATTTGTGAATGAATCTAACTGTATAAATGGACGCCACGTCAGTGATTGACGTGATATTTTAATACCACCGACTATTTTTTCCTCCCCCCTCTCTCTCTCAACTGTGATTTCCATAGAAAATTATATTGAGATAGGTAATTGAATAA